TCCACCAACACAGAAAACAGAGCAGGAGAGCATGACCTGAAGGGCTCTAGCAGGCCCGAGCATGGCAAACACAGGCCCGAGCATGGCAAACCCAGGCCCGAGCATGGCAAACCCAGGCCCGAGCATGGCAAACACAGGCCCGAGCATGGCAAACCCAGGCCCGAGCATGGCAAACACAGGCCCGAGCATGATAAACACAGGCCCGAGCGTGGCAAACACAGGCCCGAGCGTGGCAAACACAGGCCCGAGCGTGGCAAACACAGGCCCGAGCGTGGCAAACACAGGTCTGAGCATGATAAACACAGGCCCGAGCATGGCAAACCCAGGCCCGAGCATGGCTAACACAGGCCCGAGCATGGCAAACACAGGCCCGAGCATGGCAAACACAGGCCCGAGCGTGGCAAACACAGGCCCGAGTGTGGCAAACACAGGCCTGAGCATGATAAACACAGGCCCAAGCGTGGCAAACCCAGGCCCGAGCATGGCAAACACAGGCCCGAGCATGATAAACACAGGCCCAAGCATGGCAAACACAGGCCCGAGCGTGGCAAACACAGGCCTGAGCATGATAAACACAGGCCCAAGCGTGGCAAACCTAGGCCCGAGCATGGCAAACCCAGGCCCGAGCATGGCAAACACAGGCCCAAGTGTGGCAAACACAGGCCCGAGCGTGGCAAACACAGGCCTGAGCATGGCAAACCCAGGCCCAAGCGTGGCAAACACAGGCCCGAGCGTGGCAAACACAGGCCCGAGCGTGGCAAACACAGGCCCGAGCGTGGCAAACACAGGCCCGAGTGTGGCAAACCCAGGCCCAAGCATGGCAAACACGGTGTCGACAGGTTTTGCCTCTTACCTCTCTCCCCTTTATTACATTACATTCCCAAAGCTAGCCGCCAAGGTCTAGTCCCATATTTGGCCACTGACTCATTGCTGAGACTCATCACCAAGCCCATCTATCAAAGTACTAAAGTCCAGCAATCAAAGCGGCTACCCTAACTAACCTGTCCATTTAAAACTAACCACCTCACCCTAACACGGGGTTTCCTCTTTTCCCTTTACAAACTGCCATTTGCCTGTGGGTTATGTCTGTCTCCTCTCTATCCAGACACAGTCCTTTGTGACTCCAGGGGCAAATATCCCTCCCCCCATCTCATTTACTCTCTATCTTCTGTCTTTGTCTCCCATCCCTGCCCTTTGTCCCTCTGGAGCAAGTTCTTTGTGCTGAGAACTTAGTCTTGGGGTGTCCTGGGCCATCCTTCCTTTCACGGTCTTTTGGTGAGTGAGACAACAGAAGCCAGCTGGACATTCACGTCCAGAGCTCAGGCAGGGAATCTGGTTGGTAATAGCCCAGGTGTTGTTTGAAACCAGGAGTTGTCCTGAGATAATATCACCAGAGAGAAAAGGCTCAGAATGCAATGTCAGGAACATCAAAATGTCAGGAACCGTACGGCTCAGCGTAGATTCCGTTCTCTTTGTTAGGGTAACTGTAACACACTGAAAAGCTCGGGTAGACTTGTAGCCAGATGGCCAAGGGTCCGACTTAGGTTCTGGCAATTAGACACTCACATTTGGCTCCCATTTCAGGGTTGAATAAGTGGGGAGAGAGAAGACTATAAGGGCAAGATGAAACCTCTGGGCTGGTGTGCAACACAATTTCAGGTCTTGATTGGCAGTTTGGAATTAATGTTCTCACCAGAAGGTATTTCTTAATTATGGTTAAAGCAGCTACTCCATTGACAAGTTAGGTCTGAGCTTTGTTCTGGAACTTGATCTGGAGTCTATTCTTTTTCTTCCTGACCCCATAAGCTGGTGATATACCTGACATTATCTATCTGCGCAAACCCACTCTTAGCATTTGACACATGATCGGTATAGTTAGAGAAACGAAAGTCTTTGAAAGGAGCTTGAGCGTCAGCAAAACCAAGAGAGACTGCTGAAACCCAGGCAAAGGGGACTTTCAATCCATGGTCAGCTATGAAGTACTGCAGAGAGTCCAAGACAGACACGATGGAGAAATAAAAACGTAGCCAGGAAGTCACAGGCAGCCTTGATGCGCCAAAGGTTTAGTAGAGGCAGAGCTTCATTCCAGGAGGCTTGGGAGCTTCTCCCACTCTACTTGGACTTGACTGAAGAATCGGATGCTGATAACGTAATTTAGGAGGCACAAATCAGATGGCTCTGTTGCTTTTTAGTGTACCTGACATGCAACATGACAGTCTCATCCCAATGTAGGAATTCCATTGATTAAAATTATCTCTCCCTCCAGCTGCACATTTTGTGAGTTCTGTGAAGTAGTAAAAGGGAGACAGATGCCTAGGAAACGGGCATCCTGATACTAGGGCTGCCTTCTGTACAGGAAGAACGGCTCAGGATGGACAAGATTTGTATTTGGCCCACCCCACGCCTTCCTCTTCATGTTGTTAACAGCTAGTGACCTTGGGCAAGTTGCACACAGGAAGCGTTCTTCTCTGGAAAGCAGCTGTAATGTTTTTTTAATCTCACAGAATGGCTGTGATGTTTCACTGAAGTGTGTATGCGGCATTTAGACCAGCAAGTAAAAAGTACTCGGTGAGTTTGATAAATGGTTAAAAACACCTTGGGGGAGATACTACCCATTACTGCTTTCCTCTCAGGGATTCCAGCCAAAGGGGAGGATGTTTGGGAAAGCAAACTACAAAGCCTATTGTTAAGATGGAAACAAGCCATGGGGGAGGTCACACCTTAAATCACTCCCTGAGTGCCTTAACGACTGGGCTGTGCTGTGGGAGTTGGTGTGGAGGTCAAGGGCCAGCAGGAAGAAGCGGGAGATGAAGAGAAACGACAAACTTCTGGTGCCGTTTTCTCTCTTGCCACAAAGGACAGTTGTCGAATTTAAACCTGTTGGGGTTGTCTGGTGGGGGTGAAGCTGGGTATATGCATAGGAGAGCTGAAGGGAACAGACCGTTTATGGCTTGAAATGAAGTAAAAGATTCATTTATCAAAATCTTCAGGATGTCTGCTTTCAATCACAAACTCCCCTCTTCTCCTTGCCTGTGGAGCCCTGAATGTTTGAGGGAAACACGGACAAACTGTGCCAATCAATAAACCAAAACAATGAATTTGGGAACCAACTGCCTATTTCTTTCCCTACCCAGCTCAGTCCTGCCCTGGGCCCCTCATTGCCACAGAGGTAGAATTAATCTCCATTCCCTTCAGCTCCTTCCCTTTTTATTTATCCCCACAGGAACACATGGATGACAGTACCTGCAGAGAGCCGAAGAAGATTCACTGCAAGAGTTCCATACCCCAAACATTTACTTTATCTTTAGTCCTCTTATGGGCTACATATTCCCAAGGAAAGTAGGTGGATTGTTTTTGGGTTTGTTTCCCCCTGCAGATTATTTAATCCTTTCAATTAGTATTCTGATCAGCAATTGTCCATATCCCCATTACCTCATTCTAAATGAGTATTTTAAAATTAAGTATTTCTAAATTAAATAAGAGTATTTAAAGCCTGAGTTGAAGGTCAAGCTGTCTTCTTCGGCTGGTGGCTCCCTTAGCAGGCCCATATTTTGGTCACTTGCCTGGTATTGGGGATACACAGGGGTGGGCAGAGAGGGGTGTGTAAGAAGAGGCAGTATGACCAGCTCTGCTACCTGATGGAGTCTTCTTGGCCGAGTCAGTCTTCTCGGAGGGACAGTCTTGGTGCAGGCCCAGGGAAGGCTTAATAAATCCTCTGACCTCACAAGCTATAATTTCCCCTGACAGGCCTACTGTTACAAACCCTCAAGCTGATTGTTGCAGGCCAAGCCCAGGTGTTTTGATGAAGGAGGATGTAAATTCCTACCATAGAAAATGATAGGAACAATTTGGCTTGCCACGGCATTCTGCGGAATAGATGACGTGCACACGTTGTATTGACTTCTTCCGTCTTCCCACAAAACCCTCTCAGAGCCCCTGCAAACCACCAAATTACACTGATATTGTAGCTGCCTTTTGCATAGGTTGTACTCAGGGGTGTGTGTGTGTGTGTGTGTGTGTGTGTGTGTGTGTGTGTGTGTGTGTGTAAGTACATGTATTATGTATGTGTATTGGTGTACAGTTGTCAATGCACCCTGGGCTGTGGTGGCCCACAGCTGACGTTGCCTTTTCCTCAATTGCTCTCTACCTGATGTATTGAGGCAAAGTCTCTATCTGAGCCTGGAGCTCACCACTTTGGCTAATTTGGCTAACTAGCCTACTCCAGGATTCTGTCTCTGCCTCCGGCACTGGAATTACAGGTGGTCCAGGCATATTCAGCTCTTACATGGGTACTGGTGAATTCCAGTCCGTAATTTGTGTGGTAAGTGCTCTCCCCATGGAGTTGTCCCCCCAGCTCCTGTGCTCAAATGTAGAGACTGTTTATATTCACTTCAACTCAATGAGTGTATACATTCACTCTGCATCTATCCTATGCCGAACACCATAGACATGAAGCATGAATTAAAGTATTGAGTCTGGCTGGGTGGTGGTGCCACATGCCTTGAATCCCAGCACTCCAGAAGCAGAGGCAGGTGGCTCTCCATGAGTTCAAGGCCAACCTGGTCTATAGAGCAAGTTCCAAAACAGCCAGGGCTACACAGAGAAACTCTGTCTTGAAAAACCAAGGGGAGGGGGAAAAAAAAGCCTCTTTTAGCTGGTTCTGATGTTGCATGCCTTTAATTACACTCTCTGTGAGTTGAGGCCAGCCTGGTCTACAGAGCAAGTTCCAGGACAGCCAGGGTTATACAGTCTTGAAAAGAAAAGAAAAACTGGAAAATCTGATTTATTTATTTATTTATTTATTTATTTAGGTGTCACTCAGGATCCCCTCACCAACATCTATGGGAAATCTAGAATTTTTTCTTTGCAGAAACTACTCTCTGCCACCACCCACTCCATTCTTCATTGCCAGTCTCAGTTGATTCTACAGAGTAGAGCCGAGATATGACTCATGCCTGGCCAATCACAGACTTCCATTTTTCTAGACAAATAGTAATTGGTTATGAAACGGGCACAGGACTCCTCGGTGTCACTAAAACTCCATGAAACCCCTGCTGCGATGTCTGGGAGTAAAGGGAGCATTGCCCTGTTGTCTGTACGCGCTAAGATAAAAGCTGAGCCCACACAGCTCATGAATGGAGCTAAACGGAGGAAATGGAGCCAGGGGTGGGAAAAGAAAGCATGACATCTGGTGACATCCTTTGAGTCCCTCCATCCAGCCATATGTGGTGTGGCATTCCCAACTGAAGCAGAAATGTGCAGTCGCTTGTCCGTGCAGAGGATGTTTATTGAGTGGCTACTGTGTGCTGAAGACGATGTTAAACAGGAGCTGTAAGGTAGGCCTGGCCTAGTGCCTGCCTTTGAAAAGCTGATGATTTAGTACGAGAAAAATAAGAAAGGGCAACACAGGACTATTGAACTGCACAAAGAGAGAGGACATTTTGAGTGCTGAGGACATTTGAAGAAGGCTGTGTGTGTGTGTGTGTGTGTGTGTGTTCTATATGGAAATCAAAGATACACAGCCAGGGAAAGATGAAAAGAGGGATGGAGAGCGTTTCTTGCAGTTGGAAAATGGTGAGTAAAGAATTGGGGAAAACAGGACTTGCAGCAACTTGGGGAGGCGTCTTCTCCCTACTATGGCAGAGCACTAGGGAGGTTCTGCAAGACTACAGAGGTAAGCAAGAGTTGAACCAGGAAAGGACTTGCCAGTGTAAGGGGCTTCGGTGGCAATCTGAAAGGCATGCAAACAGAGGATCGTGTAGTAGAGGTCACCTACTGCTGTGCTCACAAATGTGGGACCCACTCCCGTCCACGCTGTTTCTAGGTAGACGTCATCCTGACACAGAAAGCCGTGTCTCAGTCTTCTGTTCTAAACTCCAAGGAGGTGGCTCCATGTAGACACCGTGGATCTCAGAAGAAATCCCACCTACCTACCTCCTCCATCCCTCTGCCAAAGTTCCCAGATCCGGGAGCAAGGCTGTCATCTTTCCAATCACTGGCTTCAAAGCCTGAGTCATCTCCACTTCTTCCCTACCCTGCATGATCCTCTGTTGTTGCCAAGTCACAGAAGTTCTATTTCTAGGGTGTCTCCCATTTTTATTTGAACCAAAGAGCTGTTTTTTTTTTAATTCCCCAGAAAAGTTTTGCATTTTCCTTCTTCTTCCCTCTGAGCTTGCTATATGACCCACACCTAGATAGATGCACCTCCCTCCCTCCCGAGGAGTCTAAGTTCCTCATTCTCAGGCCTCTGTATAATCCTTCTCCATAAGCAGATGGAGAAGCTATACAGTAAAGACTGCAAAGATGGTGGACTGCAGTTTCCATAATTACATCATCTTAATAAGATGCATCTTGCTGGCACATTTGCTCTAGACAGAGTCTTGAGCACTGGTTCTCAACCTGTGGGTCATGACCTCTTTGGGGATCTCAATATCATAGCAACAAAATAATTTTATACTTGGGGGGGCATTCACAGCAACATGAGGGACTGTATTAAAGGATCACAGGATGAGGAAGGCTGAGAACCACTGCACTAGAGGCTTTTCCTGCATGTTTGATGATATAAGTAGCCATGCCAGGAAGACCATCTGGCAAAGGACCATGGGTAATCTCTATTGAAGGCAACTTCCAGCCAATAACCAGCCACAAGCCAAGGACTCGGTCCTACAACTTTAAGGAAATAAATTCTGCTAGCAACCTTAGAAGCAGACTCAGTTCCTGCTAAGCCTCCAGATGGAAAACAGTATTGGTCAACTTGATTGTAGACTTGTAGAGAAGCCAGTTAAAATATGTCTGTACTCCTAACCTTCTGAAACTATGATACTAGAAACTTAGGCAACTTTTTATGCAGCCGTATTGCATTGCCCTGTTTACACCATAGAGCAGATGTTAACTACATGTGTGCTGACCATGTCCCCCTGTGCCCTGTTAGAACACTCATGTGTTTCAGATAGAGTCAAACCCTCTGTATCTATGTGTTCAACATCTACAGAGCCAACCAACCACAGACTGAGAAAATACCTCCAAACCCCAAGTCTCAGAGAGTTTCAAAAGAAGAATTTGAATTTGCTACATACTAGACATGCATGAAGTGACATATTGACATAACCTTTGTAGCCTTTTGCCACTTCAGGTGTCATCTTTCCCTCCAGCACTCACTATTGTCTGGCTTACTATTCCTGTACTGTCTAGTTACACCTAGGGTGACTGGCTCTACTGAATACAAACGGATTTCCATTTGTAGTTACCACCCAAACAGTATAGTTGTTCTATAGCTTGCTTTCCATTGTTGTGATAAACACCCTGACCCAAGCAACTTGATGGAGAGAAAGGGTTTATTTGGCTTACACCTCCACGTCATAGTCCATCACTGATGGAAGTCAGAGCAAGACTTCAAGCAGGAATGTAAAGGCAGGAACTGGAGTAGAGACTGTGGAGAAATGCTGCTTATTTGCTGTTCAGCTAGCTTCCTTATACAACCTCATTTGCCCAAAGGTAGCACCATCCACAATGATCTATGTCCTCTTCCATCAATTAGCAATCATGAAAATGCCCCATAGACATGCCTATAAACTAATCTGATGGAGGCAATTCTTCGGTTGAGATTCCCTCTTTCCCAGTGTGTCAAGTTGACAACAAAGTATAGCCATCACTGAAATGAATATGTACAGGTTTCCATTTTATAATTGCCACCCAAACAATATAACATAACAAATAATATTTGATAGTTTCAATATGGGGTTGGATATGTGATATAATATATTCAGGATGCTATGGGCTGTGTGCAGATATTATGCTATTTTATATAAGGAAGTAAAATACCTGAATTTTGGTATCTGTGATTTAGGGAAGATAGGGAGAATCCTTGGACCAATCCTCCTTGATACAGAGGGACAATGACATTGGGTATGAATGTGTTTCAAGGGATTCAATTTCTCTACCCTTAGGGGTAAAAGTTTGTATCTGAGCTTTTTATGGACCGTCAGTGCCCAAATAATGACACAGAGACTTCTTATTAAGTATGAAAGCTTGGCCAACTAGCTCTTATAATTTAAATTAACCCATTTTGATTAATCTACATTATGCTATGTAGTTCATTAACTCTCCTCAGTACTGTGTGTCCTACTTTCTCCATGTCTGACTGGTGAGTCTCTGCCTCTCCAGTTTCTTTTCAGAGTTCCTATCTCTGCCTAGAAGTCCCACCTATCCCCTCCTGCTTAGCTATTGGCTCTTTAGTTCTTTACTAAACCAATCAGAAGGTGCCTTGGCAGAGACACATCTTCACAGTGTACAAAAAGATTATCCCACAACAAAGGTTGATTGGGCAAGCGAATCTCGTTCATACATCAGCTTTAACTCTACCGGTAATATTTGCATTCAAGGCAGAGGGTCTGAAAGTAGAAGGGACCATGATTGTCTCTTTTATTAAGGACAAATTTCCAAAGCCACTGTCAGCAGACCTTTACTTAGTTGCATGGGCTATAACTTGGTTCATCGTTTCAACCTCAGATGCTGTCTTCCAAAGGTGATCTGGAAGCAGATGGCACACTGGGTTTACATGGTCCTTGCTAAAAGGATGATCCCAAGAAAAGTGGATACTGCCAACAGTGGAGAAAAGAGCAAATGGTCTGTTCTGAGTGACATCTCATCCTCTGGGCAGCAGGGGTAAGAGACTCTGTCTATTCCTTTCCCATCAGCCAGGGACAAGATTGTCATCACAATTAGGTAAAGGAGAGAAAGGTCCTGAGTGAAAAGGAGCCAGGCAGATCTGGACTCCATAAGGACATTAATCGAGTTTTGCTAAATTAAAGTATGATTATGTAGTCATTATGCACAAGATTTTAATGGATTTTTAAATGCCCTTATCCCAGAAGCATTCTGGGAAGCAAACAAAAAAATTAATTGCATTTTTTTTCAAGAAGTATACAGCTTCTGAGAGAAAGCAGTCATTTGGCTAAAATTAACGACAGATGAAGACTATTTAATGAACTGTAGCCATACATTTCAGAGCAAAGAAGTAAGTCAGTGGTGTATTTTGTATTTATAATTTGAAACTTATAAGATTTAAATGATGTAGACACAAGTACATTGAAAATCATGACTTAGGTGAGGTCAGAATAGAGAGCCCTTGCCTTGGTGAGATGGAGTTTATCTTGCTTGGGCTTTTAGACTGGTCCTTGGGTGAGAGATCCTCTGATTAGGCAAGCACTGGGAGCATCTTCCATATCATTGACCTGCTTCCCCTGGAATGCTCAAGCATCGATCTAGACAGTAGGCATGAATATATGGTACCAGCAGCCCGGTTGGGACTCAGCCAGTAAAAGAACTATTTTCCAGCCTTCGACACAGAACAGTCTCAATCAATCAGTCTACATTTCCCTGCTTTCTTTGCCAAGTTTAGAGTAAGAGAAAGGATGAAGAAAGGGGCATCAGAAACTGTAACTAAATGAGAAGACAGAAGCTGGAAACATCATAACAAGGAGTAGTCACCATGTGAAGATGCTCTGAAAGCTTGAGAGAAGCTCAGCGGAGTGTACAACCCTCCCAGGGGGTCCTAGCAAGCTGAACGTTTTGTTATTTAATAATTGCTGGATTAAACCACCATACCACAATGTGCTTCCAATCTCTGCTTGTCAGCCGGTCAAAGGCTTCTAGCTACTCAGCAAGGATTGATTCAGTGTAACCACACACAGATACTCTTACAAGTCAAAACAATTAGTGCAAACAGTAAAAGCACCAAATCATGTTTCTTCTGTGATTCCATAACGTGAGCATCTTCCACGTCTGCACAGTTCGGGTTTGTGAGCTAGAGACAGTCCTTGAAGGTGACGAAGGGGATAACAGTGATGAAGGGGATGAAGGAAAGGCCTCTGTGGTGGAAATGAGACCCCAGTCTCCACTCGAACACATTTGTGGCACCAGACAGAATCTTTAACTTCTGAGCCTCAAAATCTTCCCATCAAATAATGATGTGATTTCAAATGTCTTTTAGAAGTCTGCTTTTAAAATATATTTATGTCATATTAATAACATTCTGGTGTTAGGCAGTGGTGGTGCACGCCTTTAATCCCTCCACTTGGGAGGCAGTGGTAGGCAGATCTCTGAGTTCTAGGTCAGCCTGGTCTACAGAGTGAGTTCCAGGACAGCCAGGGCTACACAGACTCTGTCTCAAAAAACCAAAAACCACTTGGCGGTGGTGGCACATGCCTTTAACCCCAGCACTTGGGAGGCAGAGGCAGGCAGATCTTTGTGAGTTCGAGGCCAGCCTGGTCTATAGAGTAAGTTCCAGGAAAGGCTCCAAAGCTACACAGAGAAACCCTGTCTCGAAATAACCAACGAACCAACCAACCAACAAATAAAAACCACCACCACCACCAACAACAAAAAACCATTTTGGATATTGAGGAGATAGCTCAATTGATAAAACATTTCACTTTTAATCACAAGGACTCAGATTCAGTCCCTACAAACTACATAAAGAAAAGACGGGTGTTGGTACTCACTTGTAATCTCAGAGCTGGGGAGACAGACTCCTGAGGCTCACTGGCTAGCCCGTCTAGCCTAATGGGTGAGCTTCACCACAATGAGAGATGCAGAGACCTGGCCACAAAAAAGGCATATGGCACTTGAGGTTGTCCTGCAGCCTACACACACACACACACACACACACACACACACACACACACGCACACGCACACGCACACGCACACGCACACGCGCACACGCACACGCACACGCACACACACACACACACACACACACACACACACACACGAATACTTGAGCAATACATTCACTGAACTTTTTTTTAAAATGAAATTCTGAATGCTTTTAAGTCTTGTGGTATCAGAAATTCACCTGGAATCCCAGTACTTGGGAGGTAGAGGCAGGTGGATTTCTGTGAGTTCAAGGCCAGCCTGGTCTACAAAGTGAGTTCCAGGACAGCCAGGGCTGTTACACAGAGAAACCTTGTCTCAAAAACAAAGAGAGAGAGAGAGAGAGAGAGAGAGAGAGAGAGAGAGAGAGAGAGAGAGAGAGAGAGATTCACTTCACTTGAGTTGGCTAAAGTTAAAAAGATATTTATTAGAAACAGAGCATAAGGAGGAGCCAAACCCAAATCTCCACTAAGGTAGAAGACAGCCTAGGTCTGGTGTTCTAGGATAATTTAAATTAGAAAAGTAGTGTTGTCATACTCGGGGTGGGGAGGTGGGAATGCTGCTGAGATCCTGTGTGGATGGCAGCAAAAGAGTACCACTGAGAACATCTGGTAACTGATCAGGAAGGGTACCAGTGACTGAGAATCAGCACCAGCCACAGGCAGTGTACTGGTCCCACAGCTGGACCAAAGCATTCTGGCTGGACATTAGTCTCGAGTGGGGGAAAACAGCACCAACTCTCAGAAAACACAAAGGGAACTCCAAGAGTAGTTGAGTATAAAGTTTCAAAATAAAAAATATCCAAACACATTTTTTTTTTTGAAACTGGGTTTCTCTGAGTAGCCCTCACTGTCCCAGATCTCACTTTGTAGACCAGGCTGGCCTGGAACTTGGAGATCCACCTGCTGCTGCCTCCCAAGTATGGAAATTAAAGGCATGTGCCACCACCGCCTGGCTCAAACAAATTTTAAGAACAAAAATGCTATTCCTGGAAACTGGCTAGCAATTTATAGGGGTTATGTGCCATTCTGGATTTTGTTTGGTTGTAGGTAAAGTTCCACATCATAGTCAGCTTAGTGTTGCAAACAGTAGAAGAAAAACACAGCCTGAGATAGCTTCTACTTTTTGCACCCAGAGTAGAACCAGACATAACCATATGTTCAGCGCATACAGCCAGGGCTCCAGGAGGAAAAGAACGTCTACCATGGGCCAGATTTACCAGAGATACCTTAAGTTATAGCTGAGGCTCCTTTCAGCATAAGGGTGTTCCATACCCTATGAATTGACGAAGGGTCCCATCATTTGCACTTTGAGGGATAAAGTTGAAGTCTGAAAGAGTCTTGTCAGCCAAAGATGAGAATATAAGGTAATTTGATGAAGATTAAACATCAGCCTACTGTGGTGACATGTGTCGTTCATTCCCAGGTACCCCAGAGGTAGAGCATGAAGATCATTTGATCCCAAGAACTCAGGACTGGCAGACAACAGGGAGGATTGGACACCAGCTTTCTGGTTGAAGTACCAATTTATCACACAACTGGATGAGCCTTGAATACATTGTGGGAAAATTCCAGACTCTTACTATTATTTATTTTTAAAAGTATTAGAATTGACCATCTGTGGTGGTTTGAGTGAAAATGCCCCCTATAGGCTCATATATTTGTACTCTCAGCCCCTAGTTGGTGAACTGTTAGGAGCTGTGGCCTTGTTGGAGGAGGCGTGTCACTGGGAGTGAGCTTTGAGGTTTCAAAGGCCCAGCCCAGGCCTGTTGTCTCTTTCTCTGACTGTTGCCTCTGACTCAGGATGTCAAGCTCTCAGCTACTGCTCCAGCACCATGCCTGCCTGCTTCTTGCCACAATGATAATTGACTAACCCTCTACAACTATAATCAAGCCCCCAACTAAATGCTTTCTCTTATAAGAATTGCCTTGGCCATGGTATCTCTTCAGTGCCCTAGAACAGTGACTAAGATGCCATCTGTAGACACAGGAGGATGGTTCATGGTTGCCACAGAGTATGAGATTGGGCGATAGGGAATTTTCTTTGGGAGATGATGGAAATATTCTACAGTGGAGGATGGAGATGGTTATACAGCATTGTGATAATATAATGCCCTGAACTACTGAATGCTATACATTAAAAGGGAGAATTTTATGGTATGTGAATTCTATTTCAACAACAACAAAAGCCACAACAAAGCTCAAAGGCTGTCCATCTTCTGGTTAGAAGTAATAACGTGTTTGTCCCTTGTCTCCTTTGCTTCACTCTGTATGTTTTTTTTTTTTTCTAGCTACCCCGTGTTATAAACAGCCATCTGCCCACTGACAACTTCCACGTTTATCATACCAGAATAAAACTGTCGCCTGGCCTCCAGTTGGATCTAAAACATCTTTCCTGGAGAGCTCATAGACACCCAAAATGCAGCATGATGGATATAAAATTATGAATAAAGATTCAGCCTCCTCCCCTTTATGTCCCCCTTAATCGATAGTTTCTCTAATCACCACTATGTGACAGTCATTCTTCATGTCATTTGTTCATTCATTCATTCATTTGTTATCCATTGAGCTAACCTCTTCCCAAGCTCTGTCTGCATCTATTAGACACTGAGCTGTAGGCTAGGGCATAGTGGTGAACAAGATACACATGGTGTCAGCCTTTATGAAATTGTATAGGAGATGTCAATCAAAAACTTACCCAGTAGGATGAGATATACCTGAGGGATATGCAAGCAACTCTGGGAGTCATAGTATGGGAATCTGACCACCTATGTCTACTTAGGTACCAGATGATATTTTATTTTCCTTCTAAATACCTCTTGGCTCTAGTGTTGGCTGTTGACCAAACCATATCCTCACCATCCTCCAGGCTCTCATCAATTCTCACCTTCATGACCACAGTTGCTTCCTTGACTGGTCTTGTCTCCATTTCTTTTGCCAACCTTGCTAGTCTCAGATCTTCCTTCTGTATTTCTGCTAACAAAATCTTCAAAATCAAAACTTTGGGTGGGTGAGATGGCTTAGTCAGTAAAAAGCGTGTGCTATGGAGCCCAACAACCTGTTTTATCCGCAGGACCTACAAAGTGGAAAGAGAGATCTGACTCCAGCAAGCTGTCCTCTGACCTCCTCAGGTACACTGTGGCCTGAATGCTGACACAAATACAAGTATGTGCACACACACACACACACACACACACACACACACACACACACACACAGACTCACTCACAAATAAACAAATGTAATAAAAATACTCACCTCCTATTGAGTTCCTTTATTATCAACTTTTATCTCTTAAATCGAGCCACCCAGAACCTCATGACTATAACATGTTCCCCTTCAGAACAGAAGCTAAATGGGGCTTAATGACAAATGGGAGATTGCTCCCCCCCCAACTCAATGGAAAAATCATTGTGTGGTCTAGGTTCCATTTATGTGATAGACTTTCCTTTCTTCTCTATCACCACTAAACCCCACAGTCTGTATATCACTAAGCTAAAAATGCTCCCTAAGTGTCTTAGTTAGGGTTCTTATTGCTGTGAAAAGACACCATGATCACAGCAAACCCCCCCTTTTTTTTTTCGAGACAGGGTTTCTTTCTCTGTGTAGTTTTGGTGCCTATCCTGGATCTCGCTCTGTAGACCAGGCTGGCCTCGAACTCATAGAGATCTGCCTGCCTCTGCCTCCCAAATGCTGCAATTAAAGGTGTGTGCCACTGCCCCCCAGCCACAGCAACTCTTATAAAGGAAAAAATTTAATTGGGGATGGCTTAAAGTTTCAGAGGTTTAGTCCATTACTGTCATGGCAAGAAGCATGACAGCACGTGGGCAGACATGGTGCTGGAGAAGGAGTTGAGAGTTCTACATCTGGATCTGCAGGCAGCAGAAGGAGACTGTTTCACACTGGGTGTAGCTTGAGCACATGTGAGACCTCAAAGCCCACCCCCACCGAGGTACACCTCCTCCAACAAGGCCACACCTCCGAATAGTGCCACTTCCTGTGCCAAACATTCAAACACATGAGTCTTCGGTGGTCAAACCTATTTTCTTTTTAATTAAAAAATGACATTTACAGGTGTGTGTGTGTGTGTGTGTGTGTGTGTGTGTGTGTGTGTGTGTGTGTGTGTTTGGCTCCCATGTATGCCATAGCATATGTGTGATACGTGTGCAGGTCGGTTGATTTTCTCTCCTTCCACCACATGTATTCTGAAGATCAAAGTCACATGGCCAAGCTTGACAGCAAGTGTCCTTACCCACTGAGCCTTCTCGCTAGCTCAGACTCTCTTCTGTCATGATAATTTGTAAACACCTTGTTAGCAGGTGTCAAGAGGAGACCACGTGAAAGGCCTGATGATGTGTTTCAGATATTTACCCTGAAGTCAGTGTACAGGCTTTGTCCCACGGTCTCTTAACAAAAGTGGCCAGACAACAGGCAACCTATTTAAGATTGTGATGGGGGAGGAGGTGCTGGCCGACCTGGAAGTTCAAGGAATGAATTGAAATGCATCGAAGAAATGGGGAAACTGTGAGAAGACAGTGAGAGCTCAAGGAGAAAATGATACAAAATGCTGTGGAAATTGACTCTAAATATTGGGTCGTTATAGGAACTGGTGGCATGCAAGGGATAGAGAAAAAAGGTTTTCTTGAACACCTAATCTACTGAGGAGTTTACAAGCCCCTGGAGGCCAAAGTAAAGGACTGTGTTTACTTTGTTTATGCTCTAAGTGTGTGACTAAGTGATCAACAGTAAAACTCTTGGGTTGTGATGGCACAATGTCTTCTTCTCACACTGAGAAGGTGAGCAAGGCATGGCTGGCCATCCTGGCCATCATCATGCCGTCATGACTCTATCTTTTTCATGTCCTTGTTTCCTCCCACAGAAACCTCCTCCCCACCTTACTAGCTACCTCCATCATGAATCACCTTGCCGACCCTCCTAATGCTGAAAAGCTAGACGTTTAGAGAGCTAGGTGCCATGGCCCATGGTTTTCTTCAGATTCAGTGTTCCTTTCCACTGATGCTTGTAACATGGACTCGTGAAAAATCTATCTAAATAAGTCTTCTCCTCTAGATGGGAGGGTTGGGTTGCATTATGCTTATCTCTTTAGCCTGAGGTCCTATGAAAATGTTCCTAGCACCAAGGTGGCTTTCAATGACTATCTTCTGGATATGTGAAAGAATTACTGATAGAATGTTGCATATCAAATACTGACCTTGTGTCTCTCGGTCCCCAGAATAAATCTTACTTAGTGTTCCCAGGGCAGCCTGATAAGGTGCTTCCCTCCTGAACTCAAGGATTTGTTGTCCTTTGTCAGGAACACAGGGGAAGCAGGCATAATCGGATCTGTAAAGCAGCCAGGCCCTAGCCTGTGCAGTTTGCAGGAGGCCACACAATTCCCTTGCAGCCTTGACTCAACAGAGGGGTCAAGAGATCATGAGTGTGCAATTAAGGAGGAGTGTGGGGAGAAAGGAGACTGCTCGTGTCTGCTAGACCTGGCTGTGCCCATTAGTGACTAATAGAAAGGACACTCTTGACTGTTAGACTGTGTCACCTCCAAGACCCTCAGGTTCCTGGAAGTCTGAGCGCCAAGTCTGACCTTCTTGCCACCCACGCCCTCCATGTGGCTGATGATGACATGGCAGACAGTTTGTGGTTGCCTTTAGCAAGTTGTCTTTCCTAACACCTAGTTTAAGAGAAGATAAAGGTTCTTACTTGTCACTGTTATGAGTTCGTAAGCACAGGGTGCTCACAAAGCACTCTGCATCATCACCACCATTACCTGTAATTAGCTCATTGTAGTTTTGTACTATAATAATGTATGACTAATTATAGAGCATTGGAACTACACTTAGGCTCACATCAATGAGCATCAGTCATTCACTTATGTATTTATTAAGGAGGGTTTCAAAAATATTTATAATTACAAATAGGGAAATTGAGTTCTGGAAATGCCATTGTAAGCATCCCGCTTTCTTTCCCTCTTCCTCTCCTCTTTTCTTCATTGTTCCTTTTTGCCAGGCACACACACACACACACACACACACACACACACACACACACGCACGCGCACACACACACGCACACACACACACACACTTAAAGCTTGTATCACTCTCCTTGCTTTTGCTAACCCATATGTATTAGCTACTTTTTTGCTGCTGTGGTGAAACACTGAACACAACCCATCTTGGAAGGGTTTATTTCAGCTCACAGCGGCTGTCCATCATTAGGTGAAGTCAAGACAAGAACTCAAGGCAGGAACACGGATGAAGGAACTGAAGTAGAGACCATGGGGAAAGATGCTCCTTGGCTTGCTCCTCCTGGTTTACTTGGTCTGCTTACTTACGCAACTCAGGACCACCTGCCCAGGGATGGCACTGCCCACAGTGGGTTGGTCCCTTCCATATCAATAATCAAGCCTGAAAGCTTGCCTACTGATCAATCTCAGCAGGCATTTTCTCCCTTGTGGTTCTCTCTTCTCAGATGACTCTAGCTTGTGTCAAGTTGACAAAAACAAAAAACCAACATACCATAGAAGGATCGACTGCACATTTCTCTGTGTTGTGTGGTCTATGTGATTTTTAAAGCCTGCAGCATCCCACCTCATGTACTGACTCCAGTTAAGGAAGTCCTCAGTCATCCTATCTTGTTGCAGGGACCACTTTCCCTGAGACTTTCCTGCTAGTGCTTCCCATTGCTATCACCGAGATTCTGAGACTGATCAAAATCCCCGGGCTGTCGGGTGGGTCGTGGAACATTGTCAGGTACATTGAGGCAAAAGATGCCATAAAATTGAAACTATACATTCATCGTGACTACTAAAGTCCTCCCCAGTTACCTTCAGGGCTGGAGGATCCCAAGGTAATGACAAAGCTGATACAAAAACTTATTTAGGAGGGAGAATGAAAATGGAAAGTTTTATTATGTTTAAACTATCAATAACATTCCAATTTTTTGTTACTGTTTTTCATATTTTGAGACAAGATTTCTATGTGTAGCCCTGGCTGTCCTTGAACTCACTCTGTAAACCAGGCTGGTCTCAAACTAAGGAGATCCCCTTGCCTCTGCCTCCCAAGTGCTGGGATTAAAGCTGTGTGCCACCACCCCTTCCCCCGAAGAACATTCCAAGTTCTTAAAGCTCAATGAGACACTTTAAATTTTTTGACTAGTTAGTTATTGTAGTGCATCCTGCTGAGGACTCAGAT